TGTGCTAGAAGCAAACTCTTTATCTGCCTGTCCTCTCCTTGCATGCTCTATTTCGTTTCCCTCATTACACCAAACCTTGATAGGAACATTCCCCCAAGTTCTCTCCCCAGTTCTCTTCTTTCTGCCTCTGCCTTTTCCCTGTTGGAGCTTCCTGCCCTTCCCTGGCTTCTCTACTGCGTGTCCAGCAGGAATCCACGACCCCCCTTCACGCTCTCTGGACTGAAGGTGGCCATGTAGGAATCCATCCTCTTCCCTCAGACCAGCCTCTGCTTCTCACCTCTCCTGGCTCACAGTTGTCCCAGCGCCCCAGGCTGGACTCCTGGGTATATACCCTGTGTGTCGTGTCCCTCCTTTGCACCACCTCTGGCCAGCTGTGAAATACTTTTTCTTCTGAAACGCATGTCCCTCAGACTCAGGCCTGGGTCACCCGCCTCTCTCCTCACACCCACACCACTGCCCCAGAGCCAGGCCCCTGACTTCCAGAAGGTTCTCTCTGTGCCCTCCCCATCAGTGCAGCCTACAAACCACCACCACGTCAATCTTTAGAAAGATTGTGTGCTGTTCCTGGGTCGCTCGGCTGCTCAGAAACCTTCCCTGGGTCCCCACAGTTTACATAAAGGTGTTCTATTTACCTCTATGCCTGGAATTTCTAAATTGATTTTTTTTTTTTTTTTTTTGCCTCTTGATAAAACTGCTAGGCAAGTACAAAATGCGGAGAAAGGGGGAAAATTAACTTTCTTATCTTTCACTGAAATTGTTTTTCAATGAGCACCCAAAACAGGCAAAATTTCAGTCTGAGTCAGATTCATTTTTTTCTTAACTGCTAGTAGAAATCAGGCAAAAAGGCCCACGTTAGTGGCATTAACTGTGGAAATTGTGTCCACAGGGAAAAACAAAGGCTTTGCAGTCTCTCTGGAAGGCCATGTGGCCTTGCACCCTCTTTGGTCAGAGATAGCTTGTCCCCTTGTTCTGGCAGGTGGACCAGCAGGTGGACCAGCAACTGACCAGGGAAAGAACTGAGAGGCATATGGAGAGTCTGAGAATCAGCCTTCATCCCACCAGCGGGCTCAGAAAAGATCTGACCCCCTGCCTTGTTCTCCTCCATTTTTATAGCCTTGGTGGGATTCAAAAAGCGTCCAATCAGCAACAAGCTTTAACATCCAATCGGCAACAAGCTTTAACATCCAATCGGCAACAAGCTTTAACATCCAATGAGCAACAAGCTTTAACATCCAATCAGCAACAAGTTTTAACATCCAATCAGCAACAAGTTTTAACATCCAATCGGCAACAAGCTTTAACATCCAATCGGCAACAAGCTTTAGCATCTAATCAACAACAAGCTTTAACATCCAATCAGCAACAAGCTTTACATCCAATCAGCAGTGGGATTTCAAAAAGTATCCAATACAGTAGTGAGTTCAGCCATGGGGCCCCAGGGTGGGAGTTTTTCCCTGTCACCCTCTCTGTGGCTCTCTGGGGCCATTGGTCTGCCAGCCTGTGCTTTCTCTTAGGGCATATGCAGTAACCATGAGGCTTCCCTTGTCACTCTCATGATGCCACGTGTAATTAAGTTCACGCCTCCCTTCAGACAATTCCCATCAGCAGGTGACCGGCTGGAGGCCATCTAGCTGGAAGCTCACCCAGTTTGGGATGCAAGGAAAGGAAATCAGAGAGAAGGAAACCAGAAAAATGCTTAAGAACTTCCCTATGAATGCCTTAAAGTAACATCTACAATCCCTGACGTCCTTACAGTCCCCTCCCCTTCGAAGAAGTTCCATCTGGTGTCACGTGAGGCTAGAAAGCATCTTGAGTTGAGGCAAAGAGAGGGGACTGGACCCTAGAAGAAGGTGGCAGAGGCCTGGCTGCCTTCCACGCTGGGACTTTGGGGGGAGGATGGACATTAGGAAGCCGAAAAAGCTCCAGGCTCAGATACATCGGGGCTGGAATTTGGCCTCCCTCAGTTATTAACTGGCAAACCTCGGCAATGCAACCTAATTCCCCTGGACCTCAGTTTCCTCATCTTTAAAATGGGGCTCATCATCCCCTGCAGAGTGTGGTGTAGAAGACATGAAATGAAGAGTGTGCTGAATAGCCCAGGTGTGGTGGCTCACGCCTGTAATCCTAGCACTCTGTGAGGCCGAGGCGGGAGGATCGCTCAAGGTCAGGAGTTCAGAACCAGCCTGAGCAAGAGCGAGACTCTGTCTCTAATAAAAAAAATAGAAACAAATTAATTGGCCAACTAAAAATATATAGAAAAAAAAATTAGCCAGGCATGGTGGTGCATGGCTGTAGTCCCAGCTACTAAGGAGGCTGAGGCAGGAGGATTGCTTGAACCCAGGAGTTTGAGGTTGCTGTGAGCGAGGCTGATGCCACAGCACTCTAACTCAGGCAACAGAGTGAGACTCTGTCTCAGAAAGAAAAAAAAAAGAGTGTGCTGAATAAATGGCAATGATCCTTTGTACTATGACTGTATTTTAAAGCATATTCTTGTCATTGTGCTTTTATACTAAAAATGCATGTAGTGTCTGACAGCAAATTAGTAAAGTGAGGACAGCTCATGTATGTGAAAGGGTTATCGTCTTGTGTTTGTGCCTTCTTTCTTGCTCTCTGGTGCGTATTTTCTTTTGAGTTCTTGAGGTTTCTCTAGTTTCATTTTTATCAACAGAACTTCTTTGATGCATGCCAAATTCAATAGACTCATTCCCTCTATACATAACTTCAGGTGGTAGGCATGGCCAGGAGTGATTTATAGTTTCCTTTTCATTATAGTCACAGGCAGAGAAGCCTAAGAGCAGAATTGTGTAGCCTTATTAATTTTCTGTTTTTTCTTTCCCTCATCTAGAATGTATGATTGTCCTGGTTGGGATGTTGACCAAAGTCCGGGCAGGAAAGCAGACCAGAGCAGGGTGAGCACATGCCGTTTAGCTCCAGCCCAGACCTATGGCAGCCCCTTATAACTCCATCTTCAGCTGAAGATAATGGTGAATGCATGGAAAATAAGAGACCTCAAGCACCTTCCTGTTTCTCAGCAGAAAGCACATGCCAATCCAATTCTTATTTCTGTTTAAACACAATGTCCATGTTGGCAAAGGCCCCAATGGATGGATGGACTTAATATTACCCTTTATTCTGAACAAGTGAAAGAAGAAATAAAAATAAAATAAAATAAAATAAAATAAAATAAAATAAAGTAAAATAAAATAAAATAAAGAGATCTTGGAGGCTGCTAATCTATTCTTTTCCCCCGCTGCAAAAGAAGGGCGCTCTGAGGGTTTGTGAATGTTTGCTTTGCACTGGGGAATGAAAAAAATGAATATTTGATGCAGGCCAATACGAGCCTTTTAGTGATTTTCTGTTGCTCAAATTTAAGGCATGAATAATGTTCAAGGAATTTTGTTATTTTCTCAGACAGGCTAGTGTTTATGTAGGTGAAAGTACACACCACCTAAGGAAAAAAATGTTCTGGGGTTGATTATAAATGCCAGTATCTCCACCTGAGAGCATAGAAGAGCATTTTGGCTACTGGAGAACAAGACTGAAAATGGATGTTTTTCTGAGGATGAGAGGAGAGAAAAGAAAAAGGTATAATGCGTTATAATGATAACCTAGCTCTGCATTTGTTACTCGCTTTGTATTCAGAGCTCCGGACTCAGGTGCCCGTGTGGTTCCCCTTGGGAAAAACAACGATAATTGTCTGATGAAGATCTCCATTTGAATAGCATCTTTTATTTTCAAAACTCAGTGTTCTTAGCATTAAGAAGAATTAATCAGTCGGGCCTAGAAAGCACTATCTAACACACACGGTTTATATGGGGGTTAATCAAGAAAGACTGTATATGATTTGTAAGAGGAGGCCAAACTAAAAATTGAATTTAGGACTTCTAAACTCCTCTTGTCATTTTGACTTCAAAAACCTTAAATCTTTATGATTATGACACATTTGAAACGGCGCCTTTTGATTTGATCTAGTTTTAATCAACTCTAGCCCCATTTTGAACGGACTAAGGATGGACTTTGTTTTTTATTTATTTTTATTTATTTATTTATTTTGAGTCAGAGTCTCATTTTGTTGCCCGGGCTAGAGTGCCATGGTGTCAGCCTAGCTCACAGCAACCTCAAACTCCTGGGCTCAAGCGATCATCCTGCCTCAGCCTCCCAAGTAGCTGGGACTACAGGCATATGCCGCCATGCCCGGCTAGTTTTTTCTATATAGTTTTAGTTGGCCAATTAATTTCTTTCTATTTTTTTTAGTAGAAACAGGGTCTCACTCTTGCTTAGGCTGGTTTTGAACTCCTGACCTTGAGCGATCCTCCCGCCTCGGCCTCCCAGAGTGCTGGGATTACAGGTGTGGGCCACCACACCCAGCCAGGATGGACTTTGTAAGTGCTAAACATGAGAAGGAGGTTGGTGACACTTAAGCTAGAAGACAGTCACAACAGGAGGACTCTATGGGTATGAATGAAGTGTTAGGCTGAAGTGGGAGTGGCAGGTCATGGGTTAAGGGGTTGTCCAATCCTTCGTGACCTTTAACCCTATAATGGGAACAGTCTGGATTCCCGAGCCAGAAAACATGCAGTTGACATCTCAGTGCCTACCCACATGTCCCTCTAGACAGTATAGGAATCACATTCCTGGCCCTTTTATCCGCGAATATGGCCCCATGTCCACTTGGGAAAAGATCTCGGGCCTTCTACCCATACTCAAGATCAGCAAAAGTGTCTGTAGCTTCAAAGATCAAGAGAAGTAAAACTTGACCTTGCATTGGTCTAGGTAAAACATGCATGGGCAATATATGTAACCTGAACACTCGTAACCCCCATAATACACTAAAATAAAAAAAATAAAAATAAAACAAAACAACAACAACAACAAAACCATGCATGCCAGAAGCAGGGCAATCAGACAAACAATCTGTTGGGTTTACTGTTTCTATCGTACAGTTATCCTCCAAGGTAGAGACATTGCTAAAGTCAGTGGGTTAGAGAAAGCATATTTACCTCATAGTTTCCTTCCTGTGTACAGTCACATACATTTCGTAGACTCTCCCTTGGGGAATGGCCCCAGCGGGGATCAGCAAACTGACTCCTGAACAGCAAAAGAGAAGAGTAGTCACATGAGGCCCATGAATCAAGAGGCACCTGCCAGGAATGCTTTTGCAGCAAGTAAAAGGAAACAAGGAGAATTCTGTGACCACGTAGCCATACGCTTGTGTCTTGCTCTCTAAAGACATGCAAATATTCACAGTTGCTGTTGTCCTTCCATGCTGGCCTTCTTACCATCGCTCCCTTCCCAACTCGTACGGAATTACTTAAAGGAATGATGTAATGTTCTAAACTCTTGTTTTATTTAAGCAATAGACAGAGGGTTCCACTGTTATTTTCCTTGCAAACCAAGGAGAAAACCAATTAACTGCCCAAAATGTCAAACAGCTGTAATGGTGCATCATTTCTAATAAAATTCAAAGTCAGGGAAATGCTAACTTCAACCATATCGATAAACATTTATTTCTGAAATATCTTGTTAGCATCGATGTTATCCCCACAGCAGATTTGGTGAAGAACGTTTTATTATATGTAGCTCTAGAAAACGAACAGCAACTGCTCATTTAGTCACAGCGGGTCGAAGAGGTTGCTAATTGGTGCCATTTTGTGGGACTATTAGACTGAGCTGTGTTCTAAGTGAACTGCTGGTAGTGGGGGGTTGCCAATTTGAGCTTATATTGGAATCATCCAGAAGGCTTGTTAAAACTCAAGCTTACTGGATCCTACTCCCTAGAGTTTCTGCTTGAGAAGATGGGAAGGTTGGAAAGGAGATTTTTTTCAGTTGGACAAGTTGTCAGGTGATGCCCATGACGGTGGTCTTGGGCTCACCCTGCAAGAACCACTGCCCTGAACCACTCACCCTGACCACAAAGAGTGACTCAGACTCCATCATTTTATTTCCATGAAATTCAGTTTAATTCTGCTCAGTAAAAACTGACGGTGCATTCTTGTGAGTACAGTGTCTGGCCCTATTGTGAATGCCAAGAAGTAAAAGATGGTGGCTCTTGTCTTTGAGTCAGTTATCATTTAATTAGTAAGGAAATAGAATATGCAATATCAGCACAGGACAATAAGAAAACTTGCTTGACCATGTTGGAAAAAATCTCAAGAATAAAGAATGGAGTTGGGGGGAGGGTGATGGTTATTCAAAGGCCTTTCCATAACTGGTTGAAGATGTTGAGCCGTGGCCTTTGTGAGAAGGAGTAAGTAACATGAGAGCTGTAGTATTGTGGGAAGTAGAACATCCGTGTACAGAATGATTTGTGGAAGGCACAGTGTAGAATCAGGAAAACCACGCATGAGTTTACCAAGCCTCAGAGTTGTTTTTTTTTTTTTCCCAGTACAAACATAAAATGTACCTTCATCTTTGTTATGGGGGAGAAACAGAGTTATGAATGTAAAGTAACAAGTAACTATTGTTAGTCTCTTAAATAAAATTATGTCTGATGGTCACCATTGCCTACCATATATATAAAGTATTTAAAACATGCTAGCTCCCTCCCTACTACTTAAGAAGCCTTTGTAATAATCCACATAAGAAAACATGGCAGGTGTAGGAATGAGAAGAAAAGGAAGAATCCAATGAATATCATGGGGAAAAGAACTGTCTTGGAAATACTTATAATGTTTAAATAATGGAAGAATAATCAAGTATGTTTTTGTAGTCACTGATGGACTATTAAATATTTAAAATCATGATTTTAAAGAACATGCAATGGGATGAGAATGGGAAAAAGGTCAAGAAATATTTTATATAGTACATGATCTCAACTATATGTAGAAAAACATGGTGTTATATCAAATATCTCACTTTTGTTAAAATGTATTTTTAAAAGGTCTGGGGTGCAAGTTGTCAAGGCATTGAAATGATCGACTGAGCAAGAGGAAGAGTCAAAGACAATGTCATATTCAGGCCTGAAGACCCACTGGTCTGTACATTACTTAACGGTACAGATGTTATATATTTTTTTATGTGGTGTTAACACTTTAGGTCAATCAAGTTGCTTTGTATTATTCTATTTACAAAGTACAGTCTTGTCCAAAAGAGTTAACAATCAGAGAGGAAGACATTAACCCTCTTATGACCCATAGTTCCAAATCTATTACTACTATTGATTAATGGATACCAATATTTAATTCAACTGTATCAATTATTGACTTAAGTTCATCGCTAACGACCTTTACGAGGCTTATTCTCTAGATGCAGATAAACTACATAGTAAACTTCCAACTAAATATACAGAAGGACACCTGATGAATTTGGTGCTTCTAGACAGATATATTAGAGCTAGGAGTGACTATAATGTACCTTATCAAAACTTGGAGGTTGAAGAGTTAGTAATTGAAGATTTGATAATATGATGCCTTTAGATGACCTAAAAAATCAGTATAACTGATGTGTTTGCTAATTAATTTGTGCTTTGAAAGTACAATGACAACAGTGAGGCTTCCTGGCTCGATGTGGCCTTCTAAAAGTTCTGTTAAAAACAAGGTCAATGACAGTTTTAAATTACGCCTGAGCAGAAAGGGGCTGTAAGTGCACTATCTCCAGAGGAAGTGTTTTCAGAGCTGGTTAGGGGAAGATAAATGATTTTGATTTATCAAATCAAATAGAAAGAAAAGAAATATAAATGATTTTCTTCTGAAGGAAAGTTTGGATTTACATTGAAAGTAGATTTGAGCTAGACTTTTCAGGCCTAGTGAAAACCAACACAAAAGATTTTGGTGCAAAAAAAAAAAAAAAGTGTATTTCACACTGCACCTTTGCAACTGATACCTTCAGGAGTTACCTGAATTGGGGACGATGAGGTGACCGCCCAGGGAGTTGAAGGAGCCAAAGGCGGTACAGGAGGGGTCGGTCTGCCTGGCGAGGCTGTGGTTCTTCAGGTTGAGGGCTTCGTTCTCCAACAGCGACTGGGTCATCTGAGGGGACAGCTTGGATGTCAGCTCGGAGAGGTCGTCTTGGGGGGTGACCGCACCCGAGGTGTTGTACACTTTGATTTTCAGGTTGGGCAGTGGGTCCAGAATGGGAGAGTTGGTCATTGGGATTTTGTCCGAGACGTCGTGCAGGGCGTAGACAGGTCCTCTGTACATGGCGGCGGCTGTCGTGAGGTCTGGGGGCACCGCCAGCAGATCTGGGGCGGGAGAGAAGAGATTCTATTTGTGTTCTCCATTATTCGGGCCAACCTGCGCCCGTCAGCCTCCCCCTCGCGCTTTCTGAGCCAAAAGCAAAGCAACTCGGCTAATATTGGAGCCGGGTGGACACTCAGGCTCTGCCGAAACCAGGGCAATCGGAAAACGAGCATGCATTTTAGCATTGGCTATAAATAAGTGGCAAGCTCATTCTATATTTTGCTTTGAAGACTGCTCATCGCACCTAGGGTATCTGGCTATTTCAACAGATTGGACTGAATAAATAATAAGCCCCACTCCATGACTATTATGTAAGAGTTGCCCTTGTGTATATTGGATTTAGGTTCAATGGTAAACCGATAAGTCACAGTGATACAAGATGTCTTGTCAAAGGGGGAAAAAGTAGACTCAAGAAATCAGTCAACTTTTCAAACAGAAGTTTAAAAGTATGACAGAGCAACCCATCAGGAAAGAACAAAATGATGATCTGTGTACACTTGGTCGCCTTTAATTTGCTAGACGAATGACATTAATACAGTCACGGACAAAGGTGGCCAGACTCTCTCACTTTGATGGAGCTGACTCTCTACGGTTGAACTGGGTGACCCAAATGTCACCAATACTGAAGCCACAGAGGGAAACAGCTCACATGCACCAGTAACGGGGTGCGAAGGGACATGCCAACCCACCTTGTCTTGCCGCCTTGATGTTCACAGGCTGAAAGCCCCCATTGAGCGCCGAAGAGTCGATGATATCGGACTCAAAGTCTCGATGGTTCTTCCGATACACAAACAGGGCCACGATCACAGTGATGGCCAGACAGACCATCACGGCTATGACGATTCCCACGTAGAGAGCAACGTCATCCGAGTCAGGAGCAGCTGGGGCAGAGGGAGCAACAAAACGTCGGACCAGCTACTTATAGAAACTTCCCACAGTACACATACGTATTGCTATAATTTTTTCCAGACATTTATTGCCTTTTTTTTTATAGGTTAATTTCAAACCCATTTCAAAAGCTATATAAAACGGCTGTGGCCTTTCAGTGGAAAATGATCTCTGATTTCTTTGCCTTCCTCACTCTGCATCTATCTACCCACTAATCTGTCTTATAATTGGGCGGCATAACAGGCCATTTATTACTAGGTATATAAAGAAACTGGAACTAAACCCCATCCCAACCCACAGGGGCAAAAAAAAAAAATGTATTACTCATTTCAGGTGGAAAAGTTTGAGAGGGTTTTTGATTTTACTGATCGTTCTTTGCAAACATAAACATCAACACTGTTGGAAATATCTGGCATGTTTTGAGTCTATGCATTTATTGAACCGGAGTATTTTCCTAAGTAGCATTCCAGGTAATAAAATTACTTTCCATAGCACTCTTCTCACTTTTCCCTGAATCAATGGAGGGGTGGGGTGGGAATGGTCGAACTAAGCAAAGCAAACATTAGGAGCAAACACTCTGGATTTGAAGGGTGTGTTTTCAGAAGGCTCAGACCAGGGGAGTGGAGGTTAATGCTGATAACCTTCTCGAAGGCCAGGATTCGGATACAGATGCAGTATTGTCTCTGGGAACCCTGAGCTTCTCACGGTCCTTGTCGGAGATTTACATTTGAGCTACTCATTACTGGACTAAAATATAGCTATGGTGCCCTAAGTAAGATAAAGTCCTGGTTCAGTGATCAGAAAGGTCAGACTCCCAGGAAGGCAAATAAGCATTAGACTGACACAGTGTGCAGTCATTTGATGGCATCATTCTGGGAAAAGCAAAAACACAATTCCTGCAATGTTGCCTATTGTCTTGGTGGCGCTGGACATGCTTTGATCCAACTGGAAAAGGCGATGAAGGCTGATCTTTAAAACAAAGCAAACAGAATCAAACCTTTGCTGAACCCTTGTGACATCTTTAAGTCTCTGTTTTTAGTTTTCTATTGACCCACAAGAACTAGTCAGCGAAGTTAACCAAAACTGCTCTGCTCACTGTAAAAGAGGGAGTTACATGGATATTTCAGGTGGTCAAGACCAACCTAAAATTTTATAGTCAATTTTGTATCCATGTGCCTTTGGGACAGAGAGAGTTTTCAAATTTGGAAGTTCCATGAACTCCTAAAATTTGAGGGGCCACTGCTTTTTCAAGACTAACAGTGACATGGTTTATGTCATGAAAACAACTCATCATTTCATTGCTGGTGGCTTCCCTGATAACCCCCACTCTAATGACAGGTGTCTTTCATACATTGTCAGGATACATGAACTCCCTATTGGAAACTGCTCTCTTTTAGAATTTTGTGAAAGGATTCACTTTCTTTTTAGAAATATTGTCCTCAAAGCAGAATATCCACTTGTCTATCCATTAAGTCAATATTGACAGATTTTTCCAGAAACCCAGGGACATCCCAGCTACTCCTGGTCCTGTGAGCATTGCTTTCAAAGTGCTGACTTCACTTTGCTCCTGGGTTTTATTGGAGGCCCTGCCGCAAGATTCCCAACTCTGGTCAGAATATTATATCTAACTCCTTAATATTTCACTCTACCAGGTCATCATTACTTATTCAACATTCATGATTTCTAGCTCAACAGATATGCCTTCTTTCAACCCTTTTGTTTTTAGTATTTGAACCCTGCCCTTTCCTTATATCAGCATATTTCATGATATGTTTTGTCAGCTACCGGGACTCAAGCTTTTAATGGTAGACTGATAGATTTTAAAGCTGGTAGAGTCTTGAAATGACCCTTTCTTCTCTGCAGCAGGGAAAATCTAATTTGTTTTTCATGTTAGAATATATTAGGCTCCTATTTCCTGTGTGCACATCTGTGAGGCAAAGAAAGGTAAACTTGAACCAGGAGCAATAACGTTTAAATGATTATTCAGCAACATAAAATCCAAACATCCAACTTACAAGAAAATCCATATTCATTCTGGGTTCTCTGTTCGGTTGAAATAGGATAAATGAAACCTTGAAAAGAAAAAAATAAATGAAACAAAAAAATGGGAACAAAATCAAATGAATGAGGGAAACAAAAGGGGAAGCATGAAAAATGGTTTAATTAAAAGGAAAGGAAAAGAAACCATGGTCCTTTAAAATTCTGGTTCAGTACAGAATTATGATTTTGCATCTCCTGTCTGCTGTGGAGTCCCACTAAGAATTAATAAGGAGGCAGATTGAATTTCAGAGCGAAAACTGGTCTCGAGTCACTAACTTTGGAGTGCTTAAAGTCTTTCTTTTATTGAGCATAAACTCTAATGGATCTAATTCATTTCAGACATCAAGGGTCATTAGCATAAGGAAAATCTTTTTTCCCTTGTCCCTGCCATATGCTTTAATTCCCATGACATAGTCTGTAAGGTTCTAAACAGTTTTTTTCCTTTTTTATTTAATCATAACAGCTTGCTCTTGGCCTAATAGAACTAAAGACGACCTGTCGTCATTGGTCAAAGGTTAAATACCCATTTACTAAGAGCTGTGCTGAGACCACCTCTCCACCCCCCTCCATTGCAAATCCACTTTTTGGATTTTCCGTTGTTTCCTGGCCCTTTTATTTAATAGGAATCCAATAGGTAGTGCCCAGGGACTGAACAGTTTGGCGATGCAATGGAAACAGGATGCTTTTTATTTGAAATCATTTGGAAATCAATAGGGCCTAGGGGTTATAAGGTTATTTATTTATGGGCTTCAGAGGAACGGTGAAAATTGTGCAAAATAAAAATCATCTCAACGGAAAATGCAGAAATAACACCAGCTATTTTATTTTTCTTTCTTTCTAGTGCATTCTGAAGTTGGGAAAGAACCATAGTAACAATAACACAATACTAATAATAATGTGAAGCAGAGAAAGATAGGGAGAAATCATATAAAAAAACGTGCAACGCAAACTTTTTGGAATGCAAAATCTGTGCAAAGTTTCTAAGTATAACTTGGAACCGGCACCCACAGTCCCCAAGATTTAATCTTCTATAACGTATGAATTAATCAAAGGATACAGCACCATTTGGAGTAATCAAATGAAGGTGAATAAGAAGCATGTGAATTAAACCTTCCTAGTAATAGTCAAGGGCACAAAAAAAAAAAAAATAGGGAAGCTCCAAGAGTCACAATTAATTGGTTCAAAATGAAAGATCTGCAAAGCTTTCACGCTAAAAGCAACTCTAAATCGTGCCTCAGGTAGCGCTTCTGTAGTTTGCAGAACTCAAAGTTCTTACAAGCTATTTACCTATTTTGGGGGAACTAATTCTGGAGAAACATGCAGTGCCACCTTAATGAAAAAGAGGTTTGCTGTTGCACAGACAGGTTTGCTCTGAATTAATTTTTAATGTTTTATTTTAGAGCAATGATTGCAACCTCCTACTCAGTTTTATAAATATTATATTCCTTATTCCAGTTGTCTGAGTCCATGTATTATATTACGTTGGCTTTTCATTTTTAAACACCTCTGTCTGGTAATAACCTCTTTCCATTTGTATTCTGTGAACTCAATAAAAAGGACATCTGAGACACACGCAGGCTTTATTTTCGAAACCCAAAGCCTTAAGACAGTACAAGCTGGAAAAGGAGACCAAATAACGATGCCATCTCTTAGAGGTGATGATGTCAAGTAGAGGAATGTCAAAAGACTTATTATTTGCAGGCGAGAGGGCAAGGAAATGAGTATAAAATAGGATATTTGGAAATGTCCTGATGTTCATCCTGAAAATCTTGCTCAGGATTAGCATGGGCCTGCTCAAGTAAGCAGAAGAGCTGTGTTTTATAAAAAGGGAAGTGTATCTCAAGAGACATGTAACATGGTCTGAATTTTCTCCCTGTAAAGCAGTTCTGGATCTTCCCTGGCTTATGTTTCTACCTTCCAAAAGAATTCCTGTTTTTGACAGGCCGACCAAAGAACAATAGAAAAGAACATTACCGTTTTGATTTTAAGTCCAACTTTCATATATTTATGTAGATTTCAACTGCTCAATGAATATTTTTGTGCCTGATGGTATTTATCTGAGACTTACATTTCATTCCATGCACTGAATTGGCATTCATTCCTTCATTCATTTAATAAATACTCTTTAAGCCTATTATATTCTGAGTTCTATTCTAGACATGGGAGTACTTTCCTATTTTCATGAGGTTCCATTCTAGGTTAACAAAAAATAAGCAAGGAAACAAACAAACAAAGAGATCATTTCAAATACTGTAAAAGTTCTTTTAGAAATAAAACAAAAGAACATAATGTGATTGGAGATATAGGGATGGCTAACCTAGGGAATCAGGGGAGAATTTTTTACTGAGATGAAATTTGAGCTACATAGCTTGAAGAAGGACTAGGCCAAGTCAAGATCAGGAGACAAGAATACTCGATGAAGAGGGACAGTAAATTTGAAGTTCCTGACCTAAAAACAGAGTGTTTAGAGAGCAGAAAGGCAGAGAACGGGAGAACCGGATCACGCAGGCCTGGTGGTCCACAATGGGAAGTTTTCGATTTTATTCCAAGTGAAATGAAAATCCTGTGATCGAATGCAATTTTAAAAAAGAATCACTTTGATTTCTCTGTAGATCATGAATTACAAAAGGATCAAAGTGATAGGATTTTATGGACAGTTTCTGTAACACATAGCTTGGGCGATGTCCATCAATAAGCATATCAACATAGTTGATGAAGTATTTGTATTTGAGGTTGTTCTAAAATCAAATCAAATTAAAATATTAAAAAAATAATAAAAGTACCATTCAATCTTAGTTATCCCTCATAGCCAATGAGAACCAATTTGGCCAGACTGTTATTTTCCTATGTGGCAAAATTTAAAATAGAGCAATATTAAGTGTACCCACCAATGGTTCAACACCCCAATTTACCCTGCTATGGAAACACAGGTAAATGGTTTTGGAAGGCATCCCTGCAAAACTTTTTCCACCTTTTTCATAACATTTTCTGCAACTGCAGAAGTAAAACATCAATAAGGAGATGAGAAGAGAGACTAGAAGAAGGGAATTGCTATTCCATCCGCTAAACGAGAGTAACACAGAACCACTTTCTAGAGTTTGTTTTCATGCTTCTCCGTCTGATCTGTCTCTCACGGAACAACAGGGAACATTTTCTTCAGCTAATGAGGTGACCCTACTGAGAGCAGTCTTAACAATAACAAAAAAATAACATCTCCGGCAGAACATAGTGCAAAATCATGGTTTTTAGCATCGCTACTGACAACCTGGTCCAGAAGTTAAAGATTTCAGTTAACTTTCCTGCTACTTGAAAGCAAGCTAGCCTGAACAAGCACCAGGGTTGCTGGCCAAAAAGCAGTGAAGCACTGAGTTTCCAGTCTCATGAACTTCATGAGTTTGAATCCAGCCTCTGTCACTTCTTAGCTGTGACAGTTTGGTCGAACCACTTCTCTAAGCATCAGTTTTCTAATCTGTGTCAGGGGATATGGATATTTATTTCCAGAAAAGAAAAAATGAGATTTGTAAAGTGCTGGTACATGGCAAGCCATCAATAAGTGACCAACAATGATATTGATATTAACATGACGCGCAATACTAAGGTATACCAAGAGGCTGGGTTCTTAGGGATTTTATCCGTAAGGTTGACACAGCCTATTATTTAATGAGTAACCTTAGGAAAACATGTTTGAATTTCGGGTTGCCCAGTTATGACAGAAACAAGGAGCCCAGTTTTTCAGAGAAACCATGAGCAATGCACTCTTTGAAGTCCTATATACTCTTTCACCCACTTCGTTTAAAAGAAGTTTGTACCTGGCTTTTGTGGCTTCTGGCAAAGATATAGAAGCATGCTTCAGAAGCAAATTTCCAGGGCCAGAGTACAAACGGATGCTAAAAGTGTTTCTCAACCAGAAGTGGAGCCACTTCTCAAGGGTGTGTTTGGAAGTGGGGCAGGGGTGGTGTTTTTTTGGTTGTCATGATGACCAGAGGGTTGTTTTGGCATTTAGGGCGTGAGGGTCAAGGATACGGAATGTTCTGCAATGGGAGGAATAGTCTTGCCCATGAAAGAACTTTCTGGAACAAAATGCACCTCCATTGAGAACTTTCAAAATCACCACTTTTGGACTGACAGGAGAAGCAGAGGCATGGGGCGTGAGGAAGGGAGCAAGACTGGCTTCTACCCAGCATGGCAGCCTCAGTAACTGACCAGAGGGACCCAACCGCAGAGCGGTGCCCTGCTAATACTCTACAACCTCTTTCTTTAATTATTATTTATATTTTTAAAGGAAATTTATTTTTTTTTTTAAAGAAGAGATTTGCCAGACCTGGGGGAATAGGGACTGGATGAAGTTTGATTGTGGAGAGAAACTTTCAGGGAAGGTACACACCAGCCTGAAAAATCAGAGCAAAAGTAGGCTGTGTCTTAAAAAAAGTTATTGCAATGCTCCTTTTGCTAGAAAGCCATCCCATAATTACTTGCAACACAATTTTAAGAGTTATCTCTTGTCCAACCGTTTTTTTAGAGGAGGAGACTGAGTCCCAGAGGTGAGAAATGATATTTTCAAAGGTATCCACAGTGTTGAAATTCAACCAGACAAAATGTGGTTTCAACCTTCCCAAGAGTAAAAATCAATGATGGACAGGTTTTGCATTGTCAGACTTTGGTGGCACCTTTCACATTTGTATTTGCTGTGGATTTGGATTGTTGCTGTAACTGTTTTATGGCTGGCAGTGGGAAAGTGACTGGAGGAAAGAGTGACTTCTTCTAATTTGCATAAGGTCATCTTTTAGACTAGCCATCATTGAATTTGGATGCCCAAATTTTTTTTGGATGCCCATCATCTAAATTTGGATGCCCAAATTTTTCAGGGATGTCCAACTATTATGAAAGATCAGAGACCCTATCCAAGTAGCTTAGAAAGAAAAGAGAGTGTCCTTGGGTTTTTATACTGCAGGAAGTAACACCATGTTATCTTTACATACATGGTCAATACCCAGTAATTGATCAATAAAATGCTTGAAAATAGCCTAGTTGG